GAGTTCAAGACCAAGCTGTGCTTGTTATTCTTTTGTTTAAAAAGAAGAAAAGAGAAATATTGAGACAGACATATTGACTATAAGTTTATTATAAGGCCTGGTAGAATGGGGAGACTAAGAAGAGGAACAGGGTAATGGCTGACCGCCATGGCCGGTCGCCATAGAGAGACAGAGCGGGGGAACAGAGAGAGGGGACAGAGAGCAGGAACAGGGGGAGAGAGAGAGAGAGAGGGCCGGGGCCTATCTTTTAAAGAGGTCCTCTGCACCTGCGTACAGACTTCTTTCCCATGGAACCTTGGGCTGACCAGGGTATTGCCTGAGGGGATTCCACCAGGTAACAGGGGCAGGCCAGCATAATGCCTGAACCTTTCAGTGCTAACATAGCAAAACCCTACTTAAAAGAGTGGGGTAAGGCTGGAAAGATGGCTCAGCAGTTAACAGCACTGGCTGCTCTTCCAGAGGACCCAGGTTCAATTCCCAATATCCACATGGAAGCTCACAACTGTCTATAACTCCAACCCCAGGAGACCCAATACCATCTTCTGACCTCTGAGGGTACCAGGCACAGCACCCAAAACACACATCTACATCAAGCAAGATAATCATGCACATCAGTGATTTTTAAAATCAGGCTGGGCAATGGGGTGCATGTCTTTAATTCCAGCACTGGGAGGTAGAAGCAGGTGGATCTCTGCGAATTTGAGGCCAGCCTGGTCTATGTAGTTCTAGGACAACCAGGAGTACACAAAGAAACCCTGTCTGGGAAAAAAAAAAAAAGAAGAAGAAAAAAAAGAAAGGAAGGAAGAAAGAAAGAAAGAAAGAAAGAAAGAAAGAAAGAAAGAAAGAAAGATTTCTTTGGTACACACACCTATTACCCCAGAACTAGAGGATTATGGATTTTTTTCTTTCTTTTTTTGTTTTGTTTTGGTTTGTTTTTGTTTTTGTTTTCGAGACAGGGTTTCTCTGGGTAGCTTTGGAGCCTATCCTGGCACTCACTCTGGAGACCAGGCTGGCCTCGAACTCACAGAGATCCTCCTGCCTCGCCTCCTGAGTGCTGGGATTAAAGGCGTTCGCCACCAATGCCCAGCAGATTATGGATTTTGAGACTGTCTTGAGCTATGTAGAAAGATCCTGTCTTGGGCTAGGTAAATGGCTCAGTGGGTCAGAGAGCTTGTTGTGCAATCATGAGGATGTGAGTTCAAATACCACCACCCACTGTGAGGAGTTGAGGAATACAGGGAAAGCTGCAGAGCTGGTGTCTTTGTCTTTGTTTTTTTGTTTTTGACACACGGATTTCCTGTTGTCGCCCCAGCTGTCCTGGAACTCGTAGACCAGGCTGAGCAAGCCACTTACTTAATAACTTCTTTTGGCCTCTATGGGTACATGAGTGTGAGCACCTTCACACAGACATCATACACAACACATAAGATCCTTTCTCAGAAAAACCCAACAAGCAGCTGGTAAGACAGCTCAGTCAAATTATACAAACATGAGTGCCAGGGTCTGACGCCACAACACGTGCAGAAAGCCATGGGAGTAGGATGCCTGTGGCCCTGAGCTGTGGAGGCACACAGGGAGACCCCTGGGGCTCAATGACCAGTGAGCCTTGCCTACAGGCACCCAGGCTGGGGAGAGAGCCTGTCCCAAAAACATGATGAGGACCAGGAGGCAGAGGCAGGTGGATCTCTGTGAGCTACAGGCCAGGCAGGAATACACAGTGAAACCTTATCTCAAATAAATAAATAAATAAATAAATAAATAAATAAATAAAGGCTGGGTGGTGGTGGCACAGGCCTTTAATTTCAGCACTCAGGAGGCAGAGGCAGGTGGATCTCTGTAAGTTCTAGACCGGCCTGGTTTACAGAGTGAGTTCCAGGACAGCCAGGATTGTTTCACAGAGAAGCACTGTCTCGAAAAACAAAAAACAAAACAAAACAAAGCAAAAACAAGGAAACAAAAACAAACAGAAAACAACCCTGGCGAGGAACCCAGGGTTATTTGGCTTACATATCCCTCTCATAGTCCACTGAGGGAGGCCAAGGCAGAAACTCAAACTGGGCAGGAACCTGCTGCTTACTGGCTTGTTGCCTCTGGCTTGCTCAACCTACTTTCTTATAGGACCTAGGAGCATCAACCCAGAGATGGCACCACCTGCCATGGGCTGGACCCTCCCTCTCCAATCATTAATTAAGAAAATGCCCTACAGCCTGCCTACACCCCCGATCTTTTTGTTTTGTTTTGTTTTTGAGACAGGGTTTCTCTGTGTGTATCTGGCTGTCCTGGAGCTAGCTCTTATAGACCACGCTGGTGTCGAACTCACAGAGATCTGCCTCCTGAATGCTGGGATTAAAGGCATGCGCCACCACTGTCCAGCCTACACCCGGTCTTATGGAGGCATTTTCTCAATTGAGGTTCCCTCCTCTCAGGTGACTTTAGCTGGTGTCAAATTGACATAAAACTAGCCAGCAAAGATGGCTCCCTGGACGGGTAAAATGCCTGCTGTGCAAGCATGAACATGAGGGGTGTGTGTGTATGTGTGTATGTGTATGTATGTATGTATGTGTGTGTGTGTGTGTGTGTGTGTGTGTGTGTGTATGTGGGTGTATATGTGTGTGTGAGTGTATATGTGTGTGAGTGTATGTATGTCTGTGAGTGTATATGTGTATGTATGTGTGTGTATGTGTGTGTGTGGTATATGTATGGTGTGTGTCTGTGGTATATGTATGGTATGTGTGTGTGTGTGTGGTATATGTATGTTGTGCGTGCGTATGTGTGTGTGTCTGGTATATGTATGGTGTGTGTGTATGGTGTGTGTGTGTGGTATATGTATGGTGTGTGTGTATGTGTGTGTGGTATATTATGGTGTGTGTGTGTGTGTGTGGTATATGTATGGTGTGTGTGTGTGTGTGGTATATGTATGGTGTGTGTGTATGTGTGTGTGGTATATTATGGTGTGTGTGTGTGTGTGTGGTATATGTATGGTGTGTGTGTGTGTGTGGTATATGTATGGTGTGTGTGTGTGTGTGTGTGTGTGTGTGTGTGTGTGTGTGTGTGTGTGTATGGTATGTGGTGGCTTGCTAGCTAGCCAGTTTATCCAGTCAGTGAATGCTGGATTCAAACCAGCTCTAAAGATAAGGTGGACAGACATCAAGGGAGACACTTGGTGTAGAGCTCTGGCACACATACACAAGCACTTGCAACCCCAAACAAATTTAAAACCAAACAATTTAAATTCAAATAATGTGCATTTCTTCTGTTAGGCAGAAGAAGGCAGGTGTTCTCTAGAGTTGAAAAGGAGGGAGGAGGGGAGCAAGGCAGGAAGTGGAGGAGGAGGGGAATAGGGAGGGGGAAGGAAATGGATGGGATGGGGGAGGTGCAGGATGGAAGGAGACGTCAGACAGTCAAGCTGCCCGCTCTGTTCCTGGTGGGGCTTCTGGGTGGAGGCTGGCGGCAAACACTTTTCAGATCAAGTTCCATAATTCTCTCAAGCTAGTGATGGGAGAGCAAGTGAGAGGACAGGGCGGAAGCGAGCGGACACTGTCAGGAGCAAGGAAAGTGCACTCTCCATCCCAGCAGGCTGAGACTACTTTATCCCACACACCACACACACACACAGAAACCACACACATCCCACACACACACACACACACACACACACACACACCACACACACACCACACACACACACAGAAACCACACACATCCCACACACACACAGACACATACACACACACACACACCCCACACACAGACACATAACACACACACCACACACACACACAGACACCACACAACTCCCCCACAGACACATACACACATACCACACACACACAGACCCATACACTCACACCACATACACACAGACACCACACACACACAGACACCACCCCACACACACACACACATACACCACACACACACCCCACACACAGACACCACACACACAGACCCATACACACACACCACACACACACACAGACCCATACACTCACACCACATACACACAGACACCACACACACACACATACACACAGACACATACATTCACACCACATACATACAGACACCACACACACAGCCACCAGGAAGTTGCGGCTATTTTGACTAGGAGTAGCAAGGGTTATTTACAGTATCTGGACATATTGTCTCTGTAGGTGAACAGTCATGCTGGGTTAAGCCATTCCTTATGGCTTGGGGCTATTGCCCAGTCTAGCTGGCCTGGATTCTTCATGCCCCGAGGCCATTACCCAATAGCAGGGACAGGCAGAGACCTGGAGATGTTGCAGGCAGGTGTCTGTCTGGGAAAACTGGCCTGGACCTGCTGTGTGACCAGAGCACGGCAGAAATGCACATCTGAGACCTCTGTCTCTACCTCTACCTTCTGAGCACCGAGATTAAAGATGTGCACCACCACTGCCTAGTATCAATTTACTTTTTTATTACTGTTTGTATGTGTGAGACACACACACCGTGGCACAATTGTGCAGGTCACAGGAATGAGTTCTCTCCTCCCGTGTGGGTCCTGGGTTTGAACTCAGGTTGTCAGGCTTTGTTGCATACACTGAGCCAAAGAGCAAGCCCCATTTCATTCTTCTTTTGTTGGGAAGTAGGCATGGAACCTGAAGCCTCCTCATTCAGTCCCGTGGAGCATTGTGGAGCTGGACCATGGACTCCCTCAGGGAACCTCTTAGCGGTTACGAATCTTGATTTTGATATTAATTATCTAAAGTAACTTTAACTTTTGAAACAGGGGCCGCGAGCTCCTTCGCTCCTCAAGCCAGCACGCCCACCCCAAGTCATGTTTAGCAGCAGTTGCCCTTGATTTTATTTACCCTCCTCGCGGAACGCTGTTTATGAATCGAGTTGGATAACTATCTAAAAACTGTACTTGGGTCAGAAATCTGCGCGCGGTTCCTAGAAAGGGGAGGCAAACTCTGCAAGGACAAGGGTGAGCTTGTCCTTGCAGAACAGAAGAATACTTCTGTTTTCCTTTGGAGGTCAAAAGCATAACGTCAACCGTTGACCCAGGGTCTGGAAGGACGCGGGTCGTCCTTTGAACATTTGCAACAACTTAGATGCAAAGTGCGGTGGGATGGGGAGGCCGGAGTTGCGGGAGCTTCAAGGGTTAACTGTTCGGCCGTGTCACATCGGCCGTTCGAAGCTCCTCCCCGGGCCGTGAGGTGAAGACTTTTGAAAATCACACCACTGCAGACTCCTCCCCCGCCGGGAAGCCTCGCCCGCAAGAGCTGGGAATGCCTCTGGATGCGCGCGTGTAGTCGGCGGCCGGCTGAGCCCAGCGCAGGTTTGTAGCGGGGAAGCCGCCGGGTCCGGGATCCTTGGTTTGCTGCGCGGACACAGTGGGGTCTGTGAACCATCGGAGACGCGACGCAGGCTCTGAGGATGAGCACCGCGGATCTCAGGCTGCGCTGGGCCATCGCCCTGCTCCTGGCCGCTGCCGGGGCTGCCGGTAAGGCTTGCCCC